AAAGAGCCCTCAGTACCTATTGGATAAGAGGTTGTGTGGGCCCCAGAGCCGGTCTGGATGACATGGAGACGTGAAAATTTTTGACCCTACCGGGGTTCCAGCTTCGATCCTTCCGTAGGCAGTGGTTATACCGACTGAGCTATCCCGGCTCCTCACGTCCAGCCCGTAGCCAGTGGTTATACCGACTGAGCTATCCCGGCTCCTCACGTCCAGCCAGTAGCCAGTCGCTATACCGACTGAGCTATCCCGGCTCCTCACGTCCAGCCCGTAGCCAGTGGTTATACCGACTGAGCTATCCCGGCTCCTCACGTCCAGCCAGTAGCCAGTGGTTATACCGACTGAGCTATCGCGGCTCATCAGATACGTGTGAGTACAGCTAAAATGTTTTCCGCCGAATTCTCCATTTTTGATAGACGCCTACAGTAGATGTTAATTTCTGATGTTATTTTTGGAAATTATATGTTGCTACAAATAATTAGAAGTCCTTTAACAATGGATTAAAATATAACCGTTAAAATTCTGTGTCGGTCACTGTAGCCGAGCGGTCAAGGGCATGCACTGTCTCCGCTCGCTCGGAACCCGGGATCGTGGGTTCGAATCCCACACAAGGCATGGATGTTTGCTATGTGTATGTCTTTAGTCTGAATTTATGTTATCCTGTGTTTAGATAATGGCCTTGCGACGAGCTGATAACCCGTCCAAGGAGTCTTATCGTCTGTAAAATGATCAAAAATGGAAAAAAAAAACCTCAAGGTATAAGAGGAACGGATTACGTAAGTAAGTAAAATTCTGATGCGCTGTATTCAGTGCCACTAAGTAATGTTACAGCTACGCGCATAATTGTCTAAGTATATGCGACAGAATACAAACGTTGCATTCAAGACGGTAATATGGGAGTAACCCTAACTCTCATGCAACACTGTGCTTAAGTACAACTGCCGCGTATCTTCCGGTTTCTCTTGACTGGTTCCGACTGAGATATAATTATCAAACAATGAATTATTATTATATTCGACACGAATTCTAGATTCAGAGTTTATCAGTTTCAGGCAGTTTCCCTGAACAGGAGAACTGGGACTTTTCACCCCAGTGTTCGAGGGGCTTGAAATCGAACGCCATTTTGGCCTCTAATTCTCATGTCATAATAAAATTAAGGACAGGGCGCGTTCCTTGCTCGGTTTTCCTTTCTCTAAAACAGTTTCCTCCATTTCTCTGTTCTTGAATCTTGTAACCTGTTCTTTTTTAAATTCGCTTAATGGGGGGTGGAGTCCTACTGGGTCCACTCGGAACGGCGGCCACTGATTGGCCTATTGTAGCCTGCCCCGAGTGATTATGATGATGGAGAATTTGGTGGAATGAAGATTGGCAGGGGAAACCGAAGTACTCGGAGAAAACCCGCCCCAGCGCCACTTTGTCCACCACAAATCCCACGTGCCCAGACCCGGGATCGACCCCGGGTTATACCCTGTTACTAACCTACTAGCGATTTATCATGAGAGGAAGTAATGCCCTTTTGTTCCTCCGTGGGAGATTGCTAATGTTTCTTTAACGGGAGAAGGAGTTACACACACACACACACACATATGATCACATATTTCAGGCTACTGACCTAAATTAAAAAAAAAAAAAATAAAATAAAAATAAAAATAGGTTAGGGCGACCACCATTCTGTGTATTCCCTCCCCATCAATTTCTGAATAGCTGAAGTAATCTTTATGAAACTTGGCATGTACGTATATCATGACACCTGAGCTAATCTCAACGGTGTACTTCAGAAATACGTACCACCGTCTATACGTGTATCCCACTATCGTTGCTAGTCAAAGCTCGGTAAAAACGTTACTGCAGCAACTGACACACACGCTACAATATAAGAATTACTGGACGCGTTGTTTTCAATGCGGTTCGTATCGTAAAAAAGGTAAGTAAAGTTATCCCTGTACAAGGCCGTGAAGGCCCATAGGGTTGTGAGACGTCGAGGCTCCCACATTTTCTCTACACAATCGGCTCAAAGATGGCGGTAAGTTTGTCAGCCTTACGCGCCGGCCACGCTTTACTACCAAGGAAAATTATTTAATTAATTCCTGGTACTCAGTCGACCCCAGGGCCATAGTGCGACTGGAAGGATTAGGTCAATTGAAAAAATTCTAATGACCTCATCGGATCAAAGGAAATTAGGCGGTTAGTTCTTCCCAGAACTTGCACATTCTATGGTCCGACAGCTGACTCTTGTGGAAACGGTAATGAAGTTTCATTTGACATAAAGCTGTGAATCTCTTGGTCAGACGAGCTTTTCAAGGAGAAGTTACAGGCTTTTAAACCTATTCATGACTGACGCATACAAACCGTAGTCACAGTTTGCAGCCTGTTCATTATCGTTTCTGCACTGCATGTTATACATGGAAGTGGGTAGAATGGTTCGGGATGTTTACACGATTCTTGCGTGATTAATTTTCATATTATTTTGCATGCATCTTTGCATTATGTAGGGCCTGGATTCAGACTGGCCAGCGGTGCGTGTCAGGCGCTTGGACACTAGCGTCCAACGCAATCAAACCATTACACTGCCTGCCCAGAACCTGTCGCTTCAAATAGGCCGTCCCGTTGTTCGGGTTTTTTTATTGCTAGTGGGGTGGAACTAAGTCCCTTGTACTGCGGCCACTTCTGGCCTATTGTACCAGCCCCAGATGACAGGTGAGGGTGATTGTGGAGCAATTGGTGGAATGAAGATTGGCAGGGGAAACAGAAGTACTCGGAGAAAACCTGCCCCAGCTCCACTTTGTCCACCACAAATCCCACTTGACCAGACCCGCGGTGGGAAGCCAGCGACTAACCGCTTGAGCTATGGCGCGGCCTAAGTGTTCGGGGGGTTAGTCGCTAGCTTCTGAAAGCGGAGCGTCGCGTTCAATCCCTGGTAAATTCACGATAAAGTACCGGGGGCTTATATGTAAATAAACTATTAATACCAGGTTGGATAAGAAGCAATTTACTCTGTATTTTAGCTCTCATACAAAGTACTAGAATTCCTACAAAAGCAGGTACTGATACTATGCCCGTCTAGTCTGAGGCTGTGCACTGGGTGATTCTGCGTTAGCAACCCAGTCGGAACATTATGTCCACGTATGTTACATCACAGTATCCCCACTGCCAGGCCGAGGAGAGAGAGAAAGCGTATCAGAATGATTTATTATAGAACAAAGCAGGTCAGAATAAGCAACGAAGGGCACAATACTCATGGGGAATAATGAATAGTTTCAGAAAACAATTTACAACAGCCACTACTAAGAACATTTAGAAAAAACTGTCACAGAAATATTAGACTGAGAGAGCATTCTCTCCTCGTGTCACGTGTCTGTCTATATATTATTTCATGGTCTATAAAGAAGCAATGCCGGTCACAGTGGCCGCGCGATAGGCATGAACTGTCTTCAACCGCTCGAAAACTGATCGTGGGTTCTAATCCCACTCAAGGCATTGGCTGTGTTGTTCTGTGTGTAGGTAGCTGCGTCGCAACGGGCTGATCCCCATGCAAGGAGTCCTACACTCTGTGTATAGAATAAGAAACTCAAAAAGCGGCCAAGGTCCACAAGGGCTAAAGAGCCGTTTCTCAACCTCAGGACTGCGGCCCTGCATAGGTCCATCGTCTCATAGAAAAAAGGATTTACCGGGACGCAGTCCGACAAAGATTGAGAATCACTGCTACAGAGTCAAGATAGATAATTGTGTAATTCATAATTTTGAACATTTCTTGCTAATTAACGTCGTTCTAATCTTTCCCGATGGTTGCCGCAGATTTAAAATGATATCCATAAACACATTATTATGCTATGTCTAAAACATCTATGAAGTTGCGTCATACAGTGACGTAGGTAGTTATATAATCATTAGAAAAATAGTGAATTATATTTTCAACATACAATGCGAACCCAAACAGCCATACCGGAAGTCTCTTCCATAAGACTGTCTCCTCAGGGTACAACGTGCATTCAAGGATATTTTACACAGACGAAAGAAGTGAAAATGCCTCTTTGGAAGGAAACAATAAAGAAGGAAGAAACAGAAAGATAGACCTACGGGAAGAAATAACCCAAAACAGACGATACGAAGACAAAAGAAAGGGATCAATTGAATAAAGACAGCAAAAATAAAGAATGGAAAAATAAAGGACAAAATAAAGAAATCAAGGACGCCGTGATTATGTAGTAGTAAGGCATAATTTTACTTTTCTGTGCTTAAGAGCACAATGAACAGAAGATGCACCCATGTATGAAGTATGGATACAAACTTGTATTATTTTAGCCTAAAGAAAAGCGAAATTAAAGGCCGTGAGATTTGTTGCGCTGACCACGCGACACCATTATCCGTTGAAGTTAGCACTAACTTCGCCGACAAGTGGTCGTCGCTCGGTAGGTATAGTTCACTTGCGGACTAAAACCACAGAGTTCTTTGTTGTTGAAGGAAATACCATTTCAGAATATAAAACACGATTATAACGACTTGAAGCTTCTGATTCAAGCAAATAACATTCACAATTTCATTTCATCTCCATTACAAAGCCAAATTAATTTTGTGTAGGGAAATAATAGCTCTTTGTTCTGGGTGTTACGCGAAACACATATTCCGTGGGCAAAGATAAGGGATTTTTAATGCGAAAAAGGTTGTGCATATAGTACGTGTAATAACGGTGTTTTAATTGGTTAACATTGATCCTTATGAGTAAGTTCCTTCACAAAGTGTCGAAACGTCAATAAAGAATACGAGACCACTAGAGCCTAGCAACTGATTTCTCAGCGTCTCAGGCACTTTACCAAGGAATGATCATCTGAACGTACCGCGCCCTCGCTTCTGCTCCGTGAGGCAGAATTGGGACGGCGACCAACACACGCACTGCAGGAAATCTAATTACAGGAGCACACACAAAGCGTTTAATTTCATCAGAATAACGTGTTCTTCAGTGTGCAGATAATGGCACTGCTCATTAAAACACAAGCTATAATTACCTTGGAGCTGACCGTGGAGACGTCTCGCGATTCACAATGTCGGCGCCTCCTCGGGCCCTTTACACTGGCGACACGAATCCTCCACCCATAGGTTGAGAACTGAAAAATGAAAATATCATTGACAGGGTCAGTATGCAATGCTGTTCTGCGGAAGGAGCAACCGAATTATATGTTGTTTATGCCTACTTATGCATATCAATGTAACGGGATTAATTTTTCACTACTTATCGCCGATCAACCTCTCATAACCCTTTCACCTATAAAGTACTTAAAATTTATAGAAAGATTTTATTATACGTCCAGTGGAACTCAAAAGCATATTTATATAATATCTGATGCCTTCACATGCTTCCGTCAATTAATGACCATCTTCAGAAGGCAAATAACACTTGACGAAGCTACTGTTACATAAATCATAGTACATCAAGTTCAAAGTTGTCCAAAGTTTTTACATATATATAAATTAAATTAAGCTAAAATGTGGTGACTTAAAATTCTTAATATTTAAAATCTTAAACCGCTAAGGTTCGTGTCTTCGTACCCCTTCTATCGAAGGGAGATTGCTTAGATTGCAACCCTTGGAGGTGTGGGTAGTGTTTTTTCTTCTTTATGCAGTTGGTTAAGAGTCTGTGTTTGTTGTTGAACTGTTTCTCCTTTCGTTGTTTGTTGAGGCACAGGCCTTCTCAAGATGGTCATTAATTGACCGAAACACGTAAAGGCATCTATATATATATATACTTTTGTGTCATTCTGGACGGTGTACGAGTAATTAACTCTTTCTATACTATTGACTGTGTGACGGACCAAAATGAACAAAGTTAAACTTAAAATTTATTTCCTACCTCAGAGAAAGCAGAGTCTGTCTTCATCATAGAGACAGAGTAATGGCTGTTGTTTATATGAATAATATGAAAACTTGCAAATATATTCAGTGGGCTAAGAGCGCCGTAGAAAGGCGATAGGGCGAGAGAAGAAATCTTGCTCACCTCTTGTAGAAGGGCTTGAAGGCGGTGCCCTCGTTGGGGCCCTGGTTCGAGTTACCAGCGCCCATCATGTGACTGTGATGTTGGTACGCGGCATCTTTGCCGCTCGGCCTTTCCTTCTGCGGAGACTGCTGCAAGCGGCCGAAGTTGCCCAGGAAGTTGTGGTGTCCTGGTCCGGCCCCGTAGCCCGTTGTCGTGGCTGTGGCGGATGCTGATGACTGGGCGCCCGCCCCCGCACCAGAGCCGCCGCCGCCGAAACACGGTGCCGGACCCCCCAGCAGATTGCCGGCCACACTAGGCAGCTTCATGTTGGGTGGCGTCTGGGGCGGGGTATCGGTCTGAACCTCCGGAAACCCCGACGCTCCTACCGACGCCGAGCAGGTACCCACCCCGTTTCCACCGCCTCCCCCGTAGGGCCCCGACAGGAGTCCCCCGTACCGCGAGTATGGGGCCGCGGCAGCCGCTGACGGGCTCATGGCAGTGGAGGGTAGGGCGAAGCTGTTCATGCCCATGTTACCACAGCCTGTGCTGGGCATGAGCCAAGGCTGCTGCTGCTGTTGGGAGCTGGGGGGCGGTGGAGGTGTCTTGCAGGCCGCAGTGTCGGCCAGAGACCAAATCTTGGGTTTCGTGGCTGGGATGGGCACACCGCAATCAGATGGCGGCCCGTTCTTACCCATCTCATCCTTCAGGCCGCCTCCGCCGAGCATGGAGTGGGGGTGGGGGTGGTGATGCAAATGGTGGTGATTTCCCACCATCAGCAGATCTCCCGGCTTCCGGTCGTCATCATCATCTATGTCGTCATCATCGTCCATGCAGTCCTTGTCGAGATGGTGCTCTGCCTTCACGTGGCGCATGGGATCTGCGGACAGACCGAGATTTCTGTGCTTAGAAAGTGTACCTAGGTCTCCCCTCGGAATCGCTCAACTCTTCATCCCTTGTATTTCCAGACAACTTGCGTTTTTAATTAACCGAAACAATAAACTACAACGAAAAGCTGAAGTCAATAAATTTTACAAATCCAACTCAGTGCGGAACGGTTTCCGTTCAACTGTTTCGAGGACGAGGAATTATTGACCCTGCAAATGTTACGAACGGGATATCTTGCTTCGAAATTCTACATATTCTATACCCTGAAAGTTTTGCATTGTCATCAAGTTTGAAATTGGAGACTTACATAATCTGCAGTCTTGTGTAAGTTATATGAATGTCTGTAATCCGCCTTCATACAAGGCTTCGTAATCATATTTCCAGTGGCCCATTACTCATTACTGTCGACATGAAGACAAGTGAGAACTTCACACTGACGTCACGCTGTTTAATATTGGTTATTTAACGACGCTCTCAGTGTAGAAACTGTACAGAGTCTGTAGCCACCTGCTCACGATGGTTCCTCGCTCGTGAAGTATCTGGTGCAGTGAGAATTGGCATGGGAAACGGAAATACTGGGAGAAAAACCACCCCGGTGTCACTTTGTCCAGCACAAATCCCACGTGACCTGACCTGGCATTAAACCTGGGCCGTCCCGGTAACAAGCCGTTGGTTTATATACTTAAGAGTAATTTTTCCTTGAAGATGAATTTGTTCACCTGTACTAGGTAGGATAAGCGTTTCGTCCACCTCAGAAGTCTTTGCGTCCACCATGCAATAAATTAAAAAAAAAAATGTGCTATGTTCGAGTGGCTTCAAATGGCATACTGCTCGTACCAAGTTTCGTAAAAATCTGTCAGTTTGTTCGAAATTTAAATGGTGAAGGCGCGCACACAAGCAGCATCTTGATCCCATCATTTCACGGCGGTGACTGTGAAGAAAGCAGTCTTCTGGGATTTGGCACTGTGTATATGTGGTGTTAACCGACGTTTCGGAGGAACGTCGGTTAACACCACATATACAAGGTGCCAAATCCCAGAAGACTGCTTTCTTCAAAAGTAATAGCGTTCACAAAATAAATCTGCAATTATAATGACAACCAATCGGCCCGGAGGCGGGAAGAGACCTCAAGATAGTGGACAGTGAATGTATGTTACACGAAGGTAAATTCGCCTATATCCGACATGTACTCATATATGGGCTGGGGTGTGTCAGTTGCCTGACGAAAGTTCCTACAGGATCCAATTATCATCCTTTTCCGGTCTCTTGGAGTTTCTGTTTTAAGAGTTAAAAATTTGTGTTTCGCTTTAGCCATTTGCATGGGACTTTTTTCCTGTGAGAAAAGTGTGTTAATGTTTGACACATGTTGGGTATACTGAGACACAATCGCAGATTCAATTAACCTCCAATGTAATCGCGCTTTACCTGGAAGCTGCGAGACGCAGGTACCGCCTATATACAGGATGTTCTAAATTATTGTCGGGGATTCCGTTGCCTATAAACGGAAACCCTGACAATAATTTAGAATCAGCATGAATGTGTATCGCCACTTTGTTCTTGTTAAGTAAGTGTAAAGCTGCTAACACTGTAACAGACCGTGAAAGCCCACAGGGTTGTGAGACGTCGAGGCTTCCATCGGCTCACAGATGGCAGTGAGGTTGTCAGCCTTACGCACCGGCTGTTCTTGTTAAGTAACTTTATAAAAATGTTAAATTTCCTCGGAACGTTTCCCGGCTGCAGGATACCGGATAACAGAGTGTGTATAATGACTCACCCAGTGTAACAGACCTTCAGCATTTTTTTTTTAATTTTCTACAGAGTATAACAGCGTTTCATGCAGCAGATTTTGAGCTGGGATAGTTAAATCGGTGTACATGAGCTGGACGGCTGAGATCAATTCCCAGAAATAGAACGAATTTCTCTCCTCGTAACCCAAGTACAAACGGGCCGTGGTTACCCATATTCAGTGGATATGGTGGTCTGATTTCCAGGAGCTAAAGCGGGCGGAGGGTAAATCTGAGCTTCTCCGCTTGCCTTCCCCATCTAGTATTCAGTTCTAGAATGTGTCGAGTCTTACCTTCACGCGCACTATACTAATAATATATTGCTTGATGCTTACAGTGCAATTTTACAGGTTTATCAAAGTTTACCTTGAAAGTATTTTTAAAACAAGTCATAAAAATGCCACAACTAATTAATGCTACATGTAGGTCACTGGTTGGTTGAAGATATGGAGAAAGTGTCCACAACATTTTGACCCACTGTATGCACCCAAAATTGCTTCGAGGAACTGTACAAATCTGCAGAATAAGCAGCCGTTGCCATTTTTTCCACTCGGACTTGAAGTGAGTGTCTGCCCCTCTTAGGGGTTGATGAATATTGACTCCAGTAGCCTTCGAGGGGAGAAGTGGAGATTTGTTGACGCGAGGGGGATGATGGGTACCGCAAGCCCGCCTGGGAGATAATTTCATTAAGAGCTTGGAATGGGTTTGGAATGGAGATCACAGTCGGGAGGGGTGACGTAGTAAGAGGGTGAGGATTTGTGTGGTTAAGGGTTGGTCCACAAGTGGCACTTGAATGAATCTAACTTACAGATCACACCACTGCGTTGACTCGAAAGTAACGAGAGACAAAATCTATAACGGGGCTGCAACTACACAAAAGCAAAAAGCAGAAAATGTTGCCTTTTATCATGTTCATTCCTCTGAACTGGTTTGATTTTGTTCTCCTAATTATTTACGTACCTTTACAACTCAGGAGCCAGGATAGCCCAATCGGTATAGCGACTGGCTACGGGCTGGACGACCCAATGGTCAGGGTTCGAGTCCGAGTAGAATCAAGAATTTTCTCTTCTCCACGTCGTTCAGATTAGCTCTGGGGCCCATCCAACTTCCTATGCAATGGGTACCGGGGGCTCTTTCCCCGGGGGGTAAATCGGTAGGGGCGTGAAGCTGCTCACTTCCAGCAAGTGCCAAGGTCAAAAAACGTGGATCTACACATATTCTCTCCCAGAAGTCTTCATGGCGTAGTGCTTAATTAGTTAAGTACAGGGACAACTTTACTTAAGATGCATCTACTGGGTGATAATGTAGATACCATAAAGGAAAACACACAAACTTTAACTGACGCAAGTAAAGAGGTTTGTCTAGAAGTAAGCACTGAGAAAACTAAAGTATATCTTGCTGTCTCGTCACCAAAATGCAGGGCAAAATCATGATACAAAGATAGGAAACAGATGTTTTGAAACGGTGGCACAGTTCAGATATTTGGGAACAACGATAACAGATGAAAACCTGATTCAGGAGGAAATTAAGAGGCGATTGAAGTCGGGTAACGCTTGCTACCAATCAGTCCGGAACCTTTTGTCTTCTCATCTGTTGTCCAAAAACATAAAAAATAGAATATACAAAACTATAATTTTGCCTGTGGTTCGGTATGGGTGTGAAACTTGGTCTCTGACATTAAGGGAGGAACATAGACTGAGGGAGTCTGAGAACAGGGCGTTGAAGAGAATATTTGGACCGAAGAGAGATGAAGTGACAGGAGGTTGGAGAAAACTGCATAATGAGGAGCTTCATAACTTGTACTCTTCTCCAAGTATAATTAGAATGATCAAGTCAAGGAGGATGAAATGGGCAGGTCATGTAGCACGAATGGGGGAGACGAGTAATGCGTATAGGATATTGGTAGGAAAGCCAGAAGGAAAGAGATCACTGGAAAGACCAAGGCGTAGATGGGAGGACAATATTAAAATGGATCTTAGAGAGATATGATGGGATGGTGTGGAATGGATTGATCTGGCTCAGGATAGGGACCAGTGGAGGGCTCTTGTGAACACGGTGATGAACCTTCTGGTTCCATAAAATGCTGGGAAATTCTTGAGTAGCTGCAGAATTGGCAGCTCCTCAAGAAGGGTTCAGCTCCATGAGTGAGTAAGTAAGTAAGTAAGTAAGTGTTTTTCCTTGGGTTTTGCAGTGATAATTAGTTGAAGTACGTACTGGCTGCGTACACCAAATTAGGTAAATTTTGGTAATGCACTGTGATTAATTCAGATTTTCCTTTTTCCAAAATTGTGTATTGAATAAGAAGGGGAGAAATGCATAGGGTGTCATTTTACAAATGCCTTCTTCTTACAGGATTTAAATATCCTGTTTGAGTTAGCTATTTATTTAGTTCAGAGATACAAATGGGATATAACAAACAAGACAGATATGAAGAGTTCCGTCTTCTGGGATGCAGCGCCGTGTAGATCTTGTGTAAACCGACGTTTCGTCTCAATCTTCAGAGTAGAAAAATCCGCGAGCGAGGAACCAGCGTGAGCAGGTGGCTGCAGACTGAGTCACCATTCGAAAACGCCCAGCTACTGTTCTTTGTACTGCATTAACTACTTGTTATTATTTTGAGATATATCTTATATAGATCATAACGAATACTGGGCACATATTCTACCATGCGTGTACTGAGACGTTTCTGATAAAGTGGAAAAAAATATCTACTTCATGTGAAGTAAGCTCACTTTTCTCCGCATTCTTTAAATACACATTACTCAGAAAGTATTTCCTATAACGTTTGATCCCTGCTATATTTATACTTTATGCCACATGCATTTCTATTAAATTTCATTATGTTCGCTGACGAGATAATGCCGCCGACTGACAGACATGGCCTCCCCATTATGCTTTCATATTACGTACTTTGTGCAAACTATGATACCCATCATGCTTTACTGGTTGAGATTTCATGACCATCTTTTCGATGGTCTACCTGCAATGTAAATAACTTTTAAGGGTCGAACTATTTATTTTCCCAGCTCCCCCCCCCCCACAGCATCTTCCAATCCCTTAATTTAATATATTTTCCCATGCGAAAAAGACCGTCATATCCGCATGTCTAGCTTCCACTAATAAGTTTTGCTCTCGAACTAACCGACGGAATTTTAATAAAATTCAGTATGAACATCATGCCACTAGCAGCCACCCACCGCTATAATTC